TATATTATATAAAACCTGTCGACGAAGGACAGTAAAACAACTAGAATATCACAATTACAACTAAAACTAGTATGGAGAGTTAAAACTTATAGCACATTTTGGACAATACAATATACAAACAAGCTATAGATCGCCAACACCAGAAGGTAGATCACCAAACTAGGGACCATGGGGACTTACAGTACCTTGGCTTCCTGCATGGACCTTAGTTGGATTTACACCATCCCTTCAGCTGCTGGCGATTGTAAGAAATGTTAGCCACAATTAAAATGACAAGAATGCTACGTTTAAAAATCCTGGCAAGTTTAAATGGACTTTGAATATTTAGGGACTTACGTACCCTCTCAGGAGGACAATAATTTTACCCTACTTCAACCCCCTTTGAGGTTACAGCCACTAACAATCTCAGTTACTAATCTAAACTACCAATAATAAAATATGTATCTATTTACAAATCAGTTAACAAGTTTAATTCTTTTAAAAATGCAATAATTAAATGAGAACTTATATTACTAAAAATATCATTCATAGTTTGTGATTTGAAATAGATATCCCTTGTGGTGGAATATTCAACACAGTCAAGCAGGACATGCTTGACCGTGATTCTTTCATCACAAGGGATACAAAACGGAGGATCCTCACCTTTTAATAGGTACTCATGGGTATATCTTTTGTGGCCAATACGACATCGTCGTATGATGACCTCTTCATATCCGGACTGACAACCCAAGTACTTACGGACCGTAGGGCTGCGGGAATCCTGGAGATGTTACGTTTTGCACACCATTCTTTGAAAGTTGGATGTGTTTGAAACATGCACCTGTAAAATTATTTAAATTCCACAACAACAACAACAACAACAATGTGAGCCACGTGGTTTAAGCGTCATCATGCAGGGTCACTGAAAAATGTTGTTAAAACCAGTGGTTGTGAGTGTGCTCATTATTGCGATGGATTTAGTGATGTCGCTCAGGCAGGCATGAACAACGCCACGAACGGTGTTACGAATCAATGTGATTACGACATTGTGAGGAGATATGAAGATGCTGGTGGAGGTACGATGCTGCGAAACCAGGAATAATGCCAGCCATGATGTTGCGATGAGGAGTAAAGATGCTGGGATGATACGATGCACACAACGAAGGCTAAAGGTTGCACGACTGCCTTGGGTAAAATTTGAACAATCAAACAAAAGTATCTCTCTCCAAATTCCCGGATTATGAATTCAAGTATGTTATAGCAATTGTTGTTGTGGACTGAATGAATATTTGTATGTCCACATCAAAACATCATATCTACTGCATTCATCACCCCAAATAACAATCATCATCGTCTTCAACAAGCTATACACATGTACTTACCTGTTTGTGCGGCTAGTCCGTGTGAGAAGAAGATTCTTAGGAGTACAGCTGAGGTTATTATTAACTTCATGGCGGTTACTATAGTATGACCAGAAATTATTGAGAATTTAGGAATATGTTTAACTGGATTTCTAGTATAAACAACCTTGACCAGCTATGAAGAGCTTGGTTTCATTCAAGAGAGACAACTCCGTTAATCCTTTTTCATTGGTTCGTGAAGAGTTATCCCCCTTTGTTTACCTTCTACCAGACGACATTTTCAGTGATCCTCAGTATGGATGATTTAGAGAAAAGGAAGTTGATGTCTAGAGTATTTTAACAAGGACATCAGATCAGCTAAAGTGATTTCAAGTAGAACAGGCATCCTTTTGTCCACTGTTTATCGTGTTTTGAAAAACATTGCAAATGGATATGGCATTGAGCACCAGGGAGGCGCAGGTAGGCCCAGAAAATTGACTGTCGGTGACAGGAAGCGGCTTGGTATTCTTGTTTCTAAAAACAAACGAAGGAGTTTAGAAAACTTAAGGCTGGATATGATTGATAGAGGAACTTTGGCTGTCTGTAAGGAGACAATTAGAACTGAGCTGCATGCAATGGGTTGGCAGAAAAGTCGAGGAATTCCATCACCGATCATGCTTACAGCATAGACATTTTAACTGGGACAATGTGATTTTCTCAGATGAACGTTCTGTGTGGCTGTTCCCAAATACACTGAAATTCTGGACCAAACAAACTGAAAAACCTTGTATCTGCGCCCAAAGTACAGTCCGAAATGGCACCCGTGAAGAGCCACCTCCTCGTGGTGGGTACTGGGTCACGCTAAGCGCTCTTCGACCCCCCGTTGTGGACCCGGGGGGATATTTGGTCCACCAACCCGTTTGCCGTGGGTTGCGCCCCTGTGTCGGTGGAGGAAGGGATTCTGGTGGTTGAGGGCACTGGTTCCAGGAACAGTGTTCCTTTGCCCAACACACCACTTCGGCCCTGACTTCACCTAGACGGGTGGTTGAATGGGCCCGGTTCTACCAATCGGCTGGTCACGCCAAGCCCTGAGCATTACATTATGGAACGTTGCACAAAATTTTGAAAATTGTAACATGCTCTTTTTTAAGTCTTGGCGAATTTTTAGGAATTAGAATTTCAAATACCCACTTTCATGTTTTTGCCTAGAGTCGTATGCCCAAAAGGCGGTGGCTCATGGGCCAATCAGGTGGAATAATTACTTTTGTATTATTTTGCGTGCGTATATCATCCGGGTATCCTTGGTGCTGCAGGCTGGAGACCCGCCTGCTTTTAGCATTGTCCTTGTGATACTCCGTGGTGGGTGGGGAGCTCGGATGACGAAACAATATAACCTTACCGTGGCTTACGAACCCTCCCTCAAACAATCAAAACGTCCTCTTGATACTACTGATCCTGATGTCAACAACTAAAGACTGTCCACATCTACTGATTACTGGCCACGATATATTGTAATTGAGACCACTGACAATACTCCATTAAAGCTGAACCCTTTTGCTGTATCTAAGGGCATACAAGACATTGCAGGAGATGTGAGAAATGTTAAACGTTTTCGAACTGGTTCTTTACTTGTTGAATGCACATTTATATCACAGTTTTTAACGGACAGGCAATTTCAAGTTCACGTGGGTTCTACCCTGTCTGATCATTACAATCAGGATCAGGGTGTCCCACAAGGCAGTTCTTTGTCTGTCACACTCTTTAGTATTAAAATAAATAGTCTTTCAAAGGTTTTAAGTGATTCAATCGATGGATCTCTTTTTGTGGAGGATTTTAATATTTCTTGCCGTGATAAAAACATGCGAACTATTGAGAGACAATTACAAATTTGTCTCAACAAAATTCATAAATGGTGTCTCGAAAACGGGTTTAAATTTTCGAAATCCAAAACCAATTGTTTACATTTTTGTAGGAAATACAAACACCATAAAGATCCTGAATTATCATTAAATGGCACACCCATCAAAGTTGTCAAGGAAGCTAAATTCCTTGGTCTCATCTTTGATTCGCATTTAACCTTTCTGCCACATATCAGGTAAATGCCTGAAGGCACTCGACTTGTTGAAAGTCGTTTCCAGTTCAAAGTGGGGAGGGGACCAAACCACCCTCCTTCATTTCTATAGATCACTGCTCCGATCGAAACTTGATTACGGCTCTATCGTATATGGTGGGGCCCGTAAAAGCAACCTCAAACTCCTTGATTCTATCCATCACCAGGGTCTAAGACTTTGTCTTGGGTCTTTCAGAACCTCTCCCATTGACAGTCTCTACGTTGAGGCCGATGAACCATCTTTAAAACTTCGCCGTATCAAATTGTCCCTACAATATATCAGAAAGTTATATTCTAATGAATCCAATCCTGCTCACACTTGCGTTTTTAATCCTCTTTATGAGGATTTGTATAATAAGAAACCTTCACTTGTTCCACCTCTTGGGATACGAATCCAACAATATATTTCTGCTGCTGGCATTGAGTTGGAGAATATATCTCCTTCCCGTCTTCTTTCTTCTCCTCCTTGGCAATTAGTGAGGCCACAAGTTGACCTAACACTGACAAAATTTAAAAAATCTGAAACTAATGAATTACAGTATAAACAAGAATATAATCAATTAAAGAATAATTATAATACATACAAATCCTTATTTACAGATGGGTCCAAGGATGGTGGCGCAGTGGCATGTGCCACTGTCATTAGATCCAGAACAATATCTTCTAGAATACCTGATAACAGCTCTATATTTACAGCAGAAGCAAACGCCATCTTAACAGCTCTTAAATATATTAAAAGATATCCCAAACGTAAACAAAATATAATATTTTCTGACTCTCTTTCTTGCCTTCAGGCTATTAAAAATCTCTCTTGCAAACATCCACGTTTAATTGAAATAATCGAATTATATAATGATCTTGCTACTGGCCAATGCGACATCGTCTTCTGTTGGTTACCCAGCCACGTTGGCATTTCTGGGAACGCAATGGCTGATGTTGCTGCCAAGGCAGCACTCAACAAATCTGTGACACCACTTCTTATTCCATATTCTGATTATAAAGCTGACATTAAAACTTACATCCGTGATCTGATGCAGAAGAAGTGGGACACCCAAGTAGGTATTAATAAACTACATGCAATAAAACCTTATATTGGTTACACCTACTTGGGTTGTCAGTCCAGATTTGAAGAGGTCATCATACGACGATGTCGTATTGGCCACACAAGATATACTCATGAGTACCTATTGAAAGGTGAGGATCCTCCATTTTGTATCCCTTGTGATGAAAAAATCACGGTCAAGCATGTCCTGCTTGACTGTGTTGAATATTCCATCACAAGGGATAAGTATTTTAATGTCAAAACATTGTAGGATCTTTTTTGTAATGTTAATTATCATTTAATAGTTGTATTTTTAAAAGAATTGGAAATTTCACAAGCACACGTAGTGTGTAAAGTGAAATTATATTTTCATTAGTAAACATAGTAGATGTGATATTGGTATCTTCATCATGATATCCGGAAGTAGGCCATATTTAAAGCTAGCGAAGTCTCGCTGTGCGAGATCTCACGAGGCAAATTACCCATAAACCCTTCTTCATCAGGGCCGAAATTAAAAAAGAACACAGAGTAAAGGAAAAACATTTAATCAGATCATACAGATCTATTGAATTTGAACTTCAAACGGAAAAAACCCTAGATGGGGTCAGTGGCCACAAGTCATCCAGTGGAGCGCCCTCCTCTTCCTGGCCAGCTCCGCTGTAGTCCAGACCCACAGCACTCAACTGCAAGTAAAGAGCATAGCATTATCAGCTATGACTTGGTTGAATCACTCAGATCAATCCAAAACTGTAAAATATTAAAATCCATTAAGATTGACATAAATTCAAAACATTTCCGGGAATGAAGTTAAATCTTAGCAATGCAATAACTCTGAGAAATGCCAAACAATCTAGGCAATTCAGGGTGGGAGACAGGGTAGGGAATATCACATCTACTATGTTTACTAATGAAATTATAATTTGTGAAATTTCCAATTTCATGTCATAAACATAGTAGATGTGATATTGGTAGTTCAAAGCCCGGTAGTGTCAAGTATCTTTGACAAGCAGTTGCCACTGCTGATAGTATTTCTCAGATAGAAGGTTCTGAAAGTAGAGGCCTTGGTCCAGTTTCCCAACTTCAAAATGTCTGTGACAGAAGCACCTTTGGCAAATGCCTTTGAAGCACTAGCTCCTCTGACAGAATGAGCTTTATAGTGTGAAGTGTCAATACCCGCCTCGCTCATAAGATTTGTCACCCATCTTGCAATACTTGGGGATGAAACCGGTTTATGCGGTTTCACATAGCTCAAGAGAAGGCCAGACCTACATTCATCTCTCCAAGGTTCTGTGCGTTCTAAGTACACTCTAAGGCATCGAACTACACAGAGTGCAGGGTCCTTCTCATAGGCACTGAAACTCAAGGGATGAGGTTTTGTTCCTGTCTTAGTCACCTTGGTTGGTTTAATCAGGGTAAATTCTACTTCAGTGCCCCTGTCTACCATGTGTCTGATATCCAGGGAAGATAACTCTGAAGACCTGCTAGCAGAGGTTAGCATCAGAAGCATTGTCAACTTCCCAGACAAGTTTTTATCCGACAAATAGATATTATCTTTCCATTTTTTCAAATATTGCAACACCAAATCTACATCCCAGGCCACTGAGTATCTGGGCTGAGGAGGATTCTGATTAAAAATCCCTGACATTAATTTCCTGACCAGTGGGTGCTGACCCACATTATAGCTCTCGATAGTGGGGTGAAAAGCAGACAAAGCTGATGTAGCTGTATTTATGGTCCTGTACTGACTATTCTCGTGGTAAAGTGAGTGAGAAAGTCTAAGATAGACTCCACAGAGGCTGAAAAGGGATCAAAACCCCGTTGATTGCACCAGCCAGTCCACCTATTCCAGGAAGCATTGTAAGCGCCTTGTGTGCCAGGTCGCCATTGGCAGGAGAGCAGCTGTGTAGTCGCCTCTGAAATTCCTCCGGTCTTGACGCTACGCCTGAAACCTTCCATGCCGCTAACACCAGAGTGTTGTTTTCTATCACTGGATGAGGCAGGTTTTGCGGGGAGTTTAACAGATCCCTCATCTGTGGGAGGAGGATTGGTTTTGTGACCGCCATCTCCAAGAGGAGTGGATACCAGGACTGACCTTGCCACACTGGAGTTATTATGACCAGCTCTGCTTTGTCCTTTCGGATTTTCCACAGACACCTGCCTATCAGTGAGAACGGGGGAAAGGCATAAGGAATCCCCTGGTTCCAATTCACTAGAAACGCATCTGTTGATTGTGCAAGGGGGTCTGGCCTCCAGCTGCAGAAAGGCTTCATTTGGAAAGTCAGTCTCGATGCAAAAAGGTCCATTGAGAAGGGACCCAGTATCTGGTTGCATTGAGCAAAGATGATTGGATTGAGCATCCAATCGCTCGAGTCGTTGAAGTGGCGAGACTCCCAGTCCGCATGAATGTTCTCTACCCCTGGCAGATAGACTGCTGTTAAGAACAGACGGTTCTGGAGACAGAAACCCCATATCTGCTTTGTGATCTGCAACAGACTGACTGATTTTGTGCCCCCAAATCGGTTCACATAAGCCATGGCTGTCTGATTGTCCACTTGGACCAAAATAGATTGATCTTTGATCCCCTTGCAAAAGGTCAAGAGTGCCAGATGAATTGCCTTCAGCTCTAGAACATTTATGTGCATACTCTGCTCTATCTCTGACCAGCGGCCTCCTGTTGATCTCTGGCCGTGTATTGCTCCCCATCCCTTTTTTTGATGCATCTGTCTGGAGAATTACATCTGGATGAGCTGCCATGATTGGTATCCCGTTGAAATTGGTGAGGCTGGTCATCCACCACTTCAGTTCCTCCAGACAAACCGAAGGCAGTGTAATCTTTGACTCGTAACTCTGAGAACGCAAAAGCTCCCTGCTCGAATGCATCTGCAGGAAACGACAATGCAGTTGAGCTGGTAAGATTGCTCTCATTGAAGCTGACAGTTTTCCTATCAAACTTGCCAGTTGTCGAATCCTTACCTGTTTCTTTCTCATCATGTGACGACAGGTTGCTACAATGTTCTCTACCTTCTCCTCTGGTAAGATCAGAGTACGATCCACCGTGTTTATCTGAAACCCCAGGAAAGTGATCGACTGGGTTGGTGACAGAACTGATTTCTTCCAGTTTATGACAAAGCCTAGGGACTGGAGGAGAAAGATGAGGGGTGTTCCTGTGTTGACTCAGCAGGGTCGGCGATTCCGCTATACACAAGATATCGTCCAGGTATATAATCAAGCGGATGCCTGCTCGCCGTGCCAAACTTACCACTGGGCGAAGAAGTTTTGTGAATGCTCTTGGAGCTGGGGCAAGTCAAATGGCATGCATCGGAACTGATACAGAACACCCTTCCAAGAGAAGCGGAGTAGCTTTTCATGTGGGGTGCCATTGGGACGCTGAAGTAAGCATCCTTCAGATCCAGCTTGCAAAGGTAGTCCCTTTGCGGATCAAGTCCCTTAGAAGGTGTAGTCCTTCCAACTTGAAGTGTTTGTAAGGAATGTGAGCATTGAGGGCCTTGAGATTTAAGATTGGCCTCTGCCCTCCATCCTTCTTGGGAACCATGAACATAGGACTTAGAAACTGATCGAGTCCATCGAAGCAGACTGGGGAACAACCTCTATCACATGTTTGCAAAGCATTGATTGGATCTCCTGGCTCAAGGCTAACTGTCTTGTGAGCTTTAGTTTTGGTTGAAACACGCGATTCTGAATAGGTTTTGACAACAGAGGAATCTCGAAACCCGAAACTGTCTGAAGTATCCATGGATCTGAAGTGATCTTTTGCCAGTTTTTTAAAAAGTGTACCAGGCGACCCCCTATGAGGGATTCCTTGTAAAAGAGAAGATCCAGGTTTAGCTCTAGAATTGCTGGGATAACCTGTAGCATTGAGGAAGGAGGAGCATTGTGGGAACAGGCGTTGCTGACATTTGCTGACGTTGCTGATATAAGAGTGTCTGCGATTCCGACCGGACTGACCGGCTCTTCCTCTGCCTCTGGAAGAGTTGGCTCTGAAACCTCTGTTGAAGGAGGGCTTGATGTGGAATGTGCCCCCAGAAGATTGTCTTCCTCCTGAGGGCATTCTCTGAAAGGGCTGTCTATCAGGGTGACTGGGCCCTTGGTGTCTGAAAGTAGTACTGCGAGCTAAACGTCTCTCAGCATCAAATATCAATTTGGCTTTGGTCTTACGTTTTACCTCCTTCAGCATGACGTCATAAAAGGCATCTCCGAAGAGTCTGCCCTTAGCCTCTGACAAAGCTGTGTCATGCTTGAGAATGAGGCGTTTAGCCTTCTTGACATCCTTAGAAAGTTTAGCCAGAATGTTTAGCCTTCTGTTGTAATTCATGGAGACATTAGCCTGACCGATAAGACAGGTGGTTTTCTCTACCAATTCCAACAGCTCAAAGATGTCTAAATCGGCGGGGGATTCACCTCTGTGGATCTTATCAAGGTTATGCCACAGGTGACATAGAGGCCCCATGGAATTCAGAATCCGCTTTTGAATAAATTGAAGGGATTGGTCAAACTTTTTCTCGAACGACTTTCCCTTTGCCTCAAAGAGGTCGTCCAGATATGGATCCAGAGAAGGTGTCTGAAGACATTCCTCTGAAGGGACAGGGAGATCCTCTAGAATATTTTCTTCTAGTTTGGAATCCTGGCAGAAGACAGAGAAATTTCTCTGAGTCTGTCGTGAGAGAGTATGCGGGAGACACCATTCTGATGGGTCTTTGGCATCAGCTAACGAGAAGGGGGCGTAATCATCATTAGTCTCTATTGTTCCTGTCTTATTGATTACCGGTTTAGACGGAACGACCCCCTTATCCCCACGTTGATTCGTAGCAGACTCAACGTAAGATTCGTCTGAGCTTACATCGCTCGAGGGGGAAGATTCTGATTCTGACTCAAAGTCAGAAGCAGAAGCCACCCGTGCGTAAATTCGAGCACGTTTGTGCTGATTTGAGTGGCTATCCAACCCCAAGTCTCGCTTGATACCCGACCCCGATGGTTGGGGTTGATCGGACTTGCCCAAACCATCCACGTGGTTTTTCGACATATCATCGGATGCAGATGTATGCGCCTCTACGGGCACATTTTTCTGCTTAGGTATACCATCTAGGTCCTGTATGGACCCTTTGATGGAAGAAAAGTTATTCATACCAATCTATGCAAGTGAAAACGATCAAAACTTACGGAATGGCCGGCTCACGTGGCTATCTACATTGAGGCCATGATGAAGAAGGGTTTATGGGTAATTTGCCTCGCGAGATCTCGCACAGCGAGACTTCGCTAGCTTTAAATATGGCCTACTTCCGGATATCATGATGAAGATACCAATATCACATCTACTATGTTTATGACATGAAATTAGATTTGTGAACTGATTTGTAAATAGATAAATATTTTATTATTGGTAATTTAAATTAGTCACTGAGATTGTTAGTGGCTGTATCCTCAAAGGGGGTTGAAGTAGCGTAAAATTATTGTCCTCCTGAGAGGGTACGTAAGTCCCAAAAACTTTCAAAGTAAATATAGGCTTGCCACGTTTTTAATCGTAGAATATGTGTGCTTTTAATTTATGTCTAGATTTCTCTTCTGTCGCCAATGGCTGAAGGGATGATGTAAATCCAACTAGGGTCCATGCAGGTAGCTAAAGTAATGTAAGTCCCCATGGTTCCTAGTATGGTGATATACCTTCAGTTGTTGGCGATCTATAGCCCGTGTTTTATATTGTATTGTCTTCTTTAATTGGAATGTTTTAGCTTTGTTCACTAGTTTTATATTCATATCTGTGATTATCTAGTATTTTTACTGTCCTTCGTCGGCAGGTTTTAATAATATCTATATATATTCTATTTCAATGTCCAATGTTCTCGTTACGATATGGCTGAAATATTGCCGATGTGACGTTAAATAATAACTCACTCACTCACAGTCCGAAATTTAACGTGTGGGGTGGCATATATGTGTTAGGGGGCAACGCCCCTCTGTGTATTTGAAGGGAATATGAACAGTGAGCGGTACACAGATATTCTCGAGGGACATTTACTTCCATCTGCTCACGTGTTCCATGGAAATGTTTGGATTTTCCAGCAGGACAACGACCCAAAACATCGTTTAAAGTATTCACAGCCCTGGTTTCAGACCCAAAATATGACATTATTAGATTGGCCAAGCTATAGCCCTGGCCTAAATCATATAGAAAATATTGGGGGATTTATGAAGGAAAGTGTCAATAAGAAACATCTGACAAATATTTTCTGAAATAAAAGAAGAGGTGGTCCGATATTGGGACAGCATGGACCACGACTTCTTTGATCAGTAGTATGCCCCGCCGCATTGAAGCCTGTATAGCTGCCCATGGTGACTTGACAAAAAACTAACTGTTCACCTGTCTTTGAATCTGGAGTTATGTTCTCCTATTATTCACATTTAATACGTGAGCAATGAGTGAAATTTAAAAAGAAATTACCATCTTTAAATTCTCAATAATTTCTGGTTGTACTGTAACTTCTCCCACACAGCTACAACAGTGAACCAAGCTGCTGCAGTGTTATGTAGTCGTGATTGCGAAATCCCGACCTGAGGATAAAAAACAAACGAGATACATCGGCCTAGATGCAATTATAACTGCGTTTATGCGATGCAATCGTGCAATGAAAACAGCAAAGGATAGTTTTCTTTGTTTGTATCCTTCCAAATAATTAGGCATGTATATCACTACCTATTCATTTATGTCTAGCCGTTTCCCAGTCAGAAGATACATCCAATATGTAATATGTTTTCACAAGAGCGTCTAAAACAATGCTCTAACCTCAACTTGAGCAGAAACATTCATTCAAACGCAGTAAGCTGTATGCAATGTCTCAATCACTGGTAACGACTGTCCTGATTATGAATGATCATTCACTCCCGCAAACCGGTGGTTTAGGATGGTAAATGTCCTGTACTAAGTGAGTGAGTGAGTTCAGCTTTATGCTGCATTCAGCAATATTCCAGCTACATGGTAACGGTCTGAAAATAATCGAGTCTGGACCAGATAATCCAGTGAACAACATGATGAGCGTCTATCTGCGCAATTGGGAACCGATGACATGTGTAAAGCAAGTCAGCAAGCCTGATCGCTCGATCCCGTCAGTCGCCTCTTACGACAAGCATGTGTTTCAATTCGAACCGGGACCTTCAGGGGTCGCCTGTATTAATGGCAACATTAGGGGCGTACTTTCCCAAGCCAAGGACATATTTAATGCCTCAATGCTGTACAGCGTTAACAGCAGAAACATCATAAGTACCCAATATAGCTGACGCATACTCAAAACACACCACACCATACTGTCATACAGTTTGACATATGTATCTTAGTGCATGCTACCCAATAACTTGATTCTTGATATAAGTAACCCGAGAGCCCTGTTAGCAGATTAGGTCGCTGTACCTGCCATTGCCTTAAAATCTAAATTTTCCGTTAAAAGAGGCCCAAGGTAGGTATAACCACTGACATTTTTTAGAATTTCTGGCCCAATAATAAAGACAAACTTCGTCCTTTGTTTGGACGGGTTCCTAAAATGTAAAATGTTTGACTTTTCAGTGTTAATGTTAAGTCTATTTTCAAACACCAGGTATGAAGAATATCTATTAAGACATTAAGACCATTTTCATTCTCCGCAAGGAGTGCTAAATCATCAGTATATGTAAGTGAGGCAATCCTAACATTATCTATGTCAACACCGATATCACTGACATTCAGCAAGTTGAGGAGGTGATTGACGAACAAATTAAACAGCACGGGGGAGAGTAAGCAACCTTGTTTCAATCCTCGATTTACACCACATCATGGCGTTAAATACCCATTTAGCCTCACACAGCCCTGTACATCCTTGTACAAGGATTGTAAGGCACTTAAGGCACACATGTGCGCATTTAAAGTTTTCCACTGTCTCATCATCTGAAATGTATGGAAGCGTATTAGTGCCACAAGCAATTGTTATCTATGTAGATATTAGTATTTATATCTATATGGAAACTACTTTTATCCATGTAGATGACACTTACAATTATATAATATTATAACTACTTTGGTAGCTACATTTTAATGAGTAATCTAAAATAGTTGCAGGTTTTATGTAGCCTTTGCCTCATTGAATTTACCGATTTGTGTGACTTTCGACCTTGATATGTCTTTACCATCAAAACATTTCATATGGAAAAACAACACTATTTATTTGTTTGGATTTCTTTGAATTTATTTAACATGAATAACCTGACTGTTAGACAGCACCAGTGAATGGATATATGGAAATAAAACTACACAGATGTGCAGAATCATCGACGTCGATGAATTCATTACTTTTGAAGACGTAAGCATCAACGACGTTTATTTAAGATTCTCCAGTGTAGATAATTATTTGTTTTTCACTCTGACACTAAGAAGCCGATAAAATAAAATCGGGTCTTTTTGAAAGATAAAACAAAACTGTTATCAAATAACGTTTTCCACAGGCTACTCGTGTATTCTTGACTTTAATGCAAAGCTAGTAAAATGTCATGAAGAACTGTCCCATGGTCCCGACAGAACCCATTAAGTTTGAAACTGAGTAAGACGGCGTATATGCATATTTGAAAACGTTAAGTCTTAATTTGGTATGTGGAAATTGAAATCAGCGACTGACCGACCACTGTACTGTAAATTCAAACAGAATATGTACTCGATTCCTCTTACGTCCAAAAGGTGATATGTAATACGAATGTACATGTCACTCCCTAATAACATGTCAGTGTACGCGAGAGAGCAAGGTGCGACGGTAGAGACGAGATGACATGTGAATAACGGATCACTTACGGAAACTTACCCTGACTCAAATTCGTAAACAATCAGAAATATGCGTAGTTTAGGCTATCATCTGTCAGGTCATCTGAAGAGTACACACGGTTGGCGTACGGTGGTTAGCTGATAACCACAATCTTCGCTTACTGAGTAACGATTTCTGTACCTGCGTATATGACGAGAAGCTGTAGTGTCGCCCCACATAGGTTGTAACTGACGAGTGACACATCTCATGTCGCTGTACACGGGTGAAGTCGTGCTCGTGGCTGTCCTGCTCCTTCATCGAGCCACAAATACAGGTAAATATAGGTATTTTGACAGCTGAGATATGGGACCTATTCTTCTCAAAAGAAAGTCTATGTGTAGGGTGATTGACATCGTTGAATATCTTTTCTGTTGGCATAATGTATTCGTGGGTGGGAGTATAATTATTGGTGTGCTACTTATGATCAACTTTGTCTGTGTCTGTGTGACATTATGGTTATATCTTTGTGTTATTCGTCTAAAGATAAATTCTTATCTGTATTATATGTGTGCACTGTCAAGTTCAGATTAAGAGGCCAGTCGATGTGCGCCGACTTGCATCCTAAATTGAGACATTCTCAGATATTACCTTGATACTTGTAAAATGTGGACTGGAGCTCCTGATATTATTCTCCATAGATAGGAAAACGCGCCTGTCAGCTCGTAATCTCAATGAATGTTTATGAAACAGATCTGGCGGATTCAACTGGCTATTTCGATTTTGGGTAGATGAACAAGTGAAGTGGCAGACCACCGTGTTTTGGGGGAAGCTACGTATAAATCCACCGATTCAGTTGTATACTTGTTCAGGTAATTATTATTCCTTTACTACAGACGCTTGCGGAAAGGACATTCAGCTTTCCAATGTTACCAAAAGCATAAAATTAATGTCTCCAAGATACCCTTCTTTGTACAACAGGTAAGAAAGTACAATTATTCAACAGCACGTAGTGCATAAAATACAGCGAGTTAGGGGACATTCGTAATACACTATACAGTTACGATAGCTCGAATCGTCATATGGATATTATGAAAAACACGTTGTGTCATGTTCCACGTGTGTAAACAAGTACCTACAAAACAAAATAATTCACTTTAATGTAGCTTTGTAATCTAAATATATTCCCTTTCAAACAGCTAATTTTATTAATACAGTTAAAAAACGAAAATAGTTGAACAACTTATATGAGAATAATACTTGTACATTTATTATAAATAAGACCACGTTTATAATAACTTAGGAAACGATTGTGTGCACTGAATGTATTGCTGGACCAAGTTATCTTAACATATCACCAAACGAACGTTGTGTCTAAAACATTCTATTGTCGGTATTGAGTTAATGTTCAAAAAATCTTATGAAGCTTACTTATTGTGGAACCTGACAATGAATCTAGCCTTCAACTTGTCTTTTCAGTGCTCTGTCCTGCGGATGGAGGATAAGTGCATCTTCACCAAATCATCTTGTAGGCGTATCATATGTTGCACAGTTCGAGTCCAATAATTGTCAACATGGCAGTCTGTCCTTCTATGATGGTGAGCAGAATTCTTAAAAGTGGGATCTTTTTGAATTAAGACTGTATTCTGCTTTTGCAGTATCGCAATAGGGACATCAAAGGTATGGCATAATGGCTTCACGGCTTAAGTGAAGTTAATGAACTACTTACGTCTTTTGACATGTTACGGGATTTCAAACCCACGTTACAATGCGAGACAAAGCTAAAAGTATGATTGGACAAACCAATATTTATTTATAACAGCAGGATGAAAATAGACACGAACTATATAATCATGTACATTCAAAAACGCGGAAATATTCACAATATTTTCAAAGTAGTAACAGACAATTCAGCTACGACATCTTATTAAGGTAAAATTTAGGGCAGGCAGATAATGAATCGTGTTTTAAAATATTAATACAAGTTTTTAACTTTAATTTTTCATATTAATTTTGGCACTGTGTAAACACATGGCATACACATGTGATAGACATATGGTAAAAGACAGTATCATGTGTATAATTCTACATTTGCGAAAGTGTTGGCGGACATAGAATATTTGGTCTTTATGATTTTGGTGACCAGGACCAGACAGTGTTCGGTTGTCCCCATCGACGTATAGATTTAGGACATGCTATGCATAGGTAAATCTGAAAGGGGATGTGCATGATTTGGGTCTCTTAACTTTAACACTCTTGCATGACCAGGTTCAGACAATTCCAGTGGATTACTGTTACAACTGTGTGAAACGGATCGTGGTGGTATTCTCAGCAGCGGGTACACCATGTACATACAGTTTACTTCCAGTGCGTCCTCTAATGGAACAAGCTTCGTTCTCACAGCCAATAACACTGAAAGTAAGTATAAATAATGAAACAAAGGAAGCGCTTAGGTTAGCATTAACGCCGCTTTGAACAGTTGTGACACAAGGGCGTGATCATGTGATCAGACATGAAAGCGGACCTAACTTCAAGCAGATAAAAATAAAAGCGTAAAAATCCTGAACAAAATACAATGCAAAAACGTGCCTCGAGTAGAACCGACTATGCGATTCCGAAAATACTATGAACATGTGTACATGATTCACTGCGAAATAGTGATGATACCCTGTGTTCGCAAATAAGCTTGCTCTGATTCGTTAACATGCAGTTTTTTCACCTAGACGTCATCATGGAAACGTATTGGTAAGTCAAAGTCGGGAACTGCATCGGACCTAATTTTTAGTCTTTTGTTATACACAGAAATGTCAAATAAACGTTTGAAACATCGTTCAATGTGGTCGAAGTGATCCAGCTCATCTGTTTTGGTAAAAACTTACATTTGTAGATTTCGAAATATCAACCTGTCTGCTCTTTCACAATGTCACATTCTCAAATCATGAAACTCAACTGGCTTTTTCAGGATGTGGTGGAACGTTTATAGCAACATCACAGATAACAAATTTCACCGTACCCGGCGCTCCTTACGTCTCTTATAGGTATGACACAAATAATTCCTTTAAAGTGCTGTTTATATCTTAAATAAAATTCTTTTTCTTTTAATATTTATTTGATTCCTGGAAAAAGTACATGTTTCAATTCATGTCATTTCTTGACGTTTCCATGACCAGGATTTTAAATTAATGTACATGTATATCATTCATACTCATCCATACACACATTCACTACCACTATATATATTATACATATACTATAGTTACAAAATGATTTCACAAGAAGCCCATTTCCTATAAAATCAAGTATGTTTGGCTTTGTTAAAGTGCCTTTTAGATAATAGTATTTAATCTCATTTTGAAATGTTTTATGTTTGGCACGGAATTTTGCATTTTACAGCTGTAGATGTGAGAGTCGGCTGGTAACTAAGAGTATTTAACCAAATATATCAGTTCGGGAATTTGGAGAAAAGCCAAAAAGAAGTAAGGGTAAAGTAAGATTTAGCTCGCCAGTATGTAGACACTTATATTCAATCAATTGTGAACATATTTTTCAAAATATTTTCCGTACCCTCCAGTCCCAAAACCAATGTAAACTAAAACTTTACAAGTACACTTTATCGTTACAAGTGTGTAAATGTGGTGAAGACGATCTGAAGGATATATGTATGATTTATCAATCAGTATCAACAGCTAGCCTTTTTTTCAGGAATCTAAATTGCAAGTGGATTATCACAGCAGAAAACGAAAACGATACAGTTCAAGTCAAATCAGACATGCAAGTCTACTACTTTGGGTCCGCGTCAGAGTCCTGCAAGTATGATGTCGTTCGTGTGTACAACGGAAACACAACGGAAGGTACTGTAATGCAGCTGTGTCTCTTTATTCTTGTATTGTTTGATTTACTTTCAAAAGTATTATTTATGTGATATGGTATCTCCATCCCCGTATTAACATGGGTGGATGGAAGAATGTGATGTTATGGCATCTATTATTATTATGATGATGTGATATAGGCCATGACCCTGAATACATGAATACAATTGTCTGTCTGTCTGTCTGTCTGTCTGAATGCATGGATGGATGGTTGGATGGATAGAGATCAATCGGATCTAAACTGACGGGTTAAAGAAACGCTACCAATGATTAGCAACCCTGTTGTGAAATTACCACAACGGATAGACCCATAAAACAAAATGAACTGGGAGAATCGGCTTTCATCCGAGAATAGCACCCTTTGCCACTCACGTCGCTGCCAACGTCGAAACGTCCGGACCCATCTAAATCTCCGTGCACGATGTTTGGCCGTCAACTGCTGTCCGCGGAAAGTTCTGTAAGCCAGCATTCCATAGGACCTCCGTCGTCTGGCTACTGTGTATCGGTTTACACGGTGACCCAAAGCCATGATGACACTACCTCCAGGAAAAGGTTTCTGAGATACAACGTGCTCAGATACTGGTCCTCCTGTGATCTGCTTGATCGTGGCCTGTCTGAAGTCATAAGTGCCTGACGGTGTCGCTGCATAAGTCTAGTGACGGTGAAGCGCTGTCAGCCAAGCTTTCTTGCAACGAGTGTGTGGAAGGCTCCCATTTCGATCATTACGATCGCCCGTTCTCGTTTTCGCAAAGTTAATCTAGCCGTTGTTTTGGTGGTTTTTTAATAAAATGAATGTCGTTTGCATTGGTTTTATACCCGTTTGGCATTTATTGTTTTCGCTCTGCGTGAAAAAGAAGCAAAGCATTATTTGTACAAAATGGTGAAAAAGCACACATTGTATGCCTTATTCCTAAGTTGAAAACTCATTGTTGCGTTTGGTCACAACTTTGTACAATAGAAATGACCACATGATGAATAAGCACCGTTACCCATGTTATATTTCAGCCGACCAATTCCTTGGCGAATACTGTTCAACACAGATGCCTAATTTCTACAGTTCAAAGAAATCACTGTTGCTGGTGCTTACAACTGATGGGAATAAGACCAGCATCGGTTTGCAAATGCAATATTCTTCAAGACCAGGTATATCGAACACGATGTTAGTGACATTTTCTATATTTCTTACTCCTATAGGCGTGTACAATAACAACTGAATATACGGGGCGGTGGGGTAGCCCAGTGGTTGAAGCCTCACGCCGAAGACCTGGGTTCCAATCCGCACATTGGTGTAATGTGTGAAGCCAATTTCTGGTGTCACTCGCCGTAATATTGCTGGAATATTGCTAAAAGCAGTGTAAGATCATACTCACTCACTCACTCACTGAATAATTCACTTCACTACTTAGATCGACATGAGTTAGTTAACATTTGAAGTCACATCGGCAGTATTTCAGCCATTTCGTGAATAAGAAATTTAAAGTTGTAGATTTATAAATGAATATAAACAAATTTTGATAATATCCTTACCTGCCTGCAAATGACAGTAAAATAACTAGAATATCACATTTATAAATTATAAATGATATAAAACTAGTATGAAAAATCTAAAACATCTTAACTGTGCTAGACAATACCATATGAAAAACAGGCTATAGCGTGCCAACAACTCAAGGTAGATCACCATACTAGGGACCACGGGGATTTACCGTACATTTGCTTCATGCATCGACCAAGCTGGATTTACACCATCCCTTCAGCTATTAGCAATTTTAGACAAACTAGTCATAAAGTAAAATGACATATATAGTGCGGTTTAAAAGGTGGTACGTTTAAATTGACTTTGAACGTTTTGAACTTACGTACCCTCTCAGGAGGACACTAAGTTTACAGTACTTTAACCCCCTTTGAGGATACAGCACGAACAATCCCAGTACATAATCTAAACAACTAATTATAAAATAGTATCTGTTAACAAAACATATAAAACTTATGCAACAATTCTATTTCTTTTAAAAAAAGCAAGAATTAATTTAAAATTAACACACGAAAAAAAGATCCTTAACAGTTTTTTTTACATGGAAAGGTCGACTTGAGTTATGTCGCTGAAACGTTTCATATAACTTTCTGAACATAAATGAAAGGCAATTAATTTAAGAGAAATGTTAGCGTTGATCATGTTTAATTTTCCTGTGACAAAAGTCTAATGTGAGTAGGGTACATTTACTTTGACTTTGCATTGTCTGTGTCTCATTATCCTGGAGGAAAATAGGAATGATGTACAAATTTCATGCAGATACATTGTATAAAAGACACATGCTATCTTCTGCAATTTAAAAGTGACAGTTTGACAGGTAGTTTTTGAATCAACTAATTTTGTTTCAACATTATCAAGTTAATACATTGTAGCCAGTGGATACAAAAGTTTGATTGATAATTTCAGCATGGAATCCGATGAAAGTCCAACGTGATACAAGTCGTATACACTACTGGTGTTGACAATTCAAGCAATAATGTGAATGCAAATGTGAGATTCGAACCAAGAGTCTCAGAATCTTATCATGCTTGGGACTTGCGTCTACTTCATTATGCAACACAAGCGTCGCAAAATTAGACTTGGCATCAATTAGTTTTATACATCTTGACATTCCTCTTTATTAATTTAAGGAAGGGACTATCATTGTTATAAGAACATGCCCTTGTTCAAATCTTTGAAGGGCATATATCCCGCTGATACTCCCTACCATTCACCTGATAAAGGAACAAGCATACGAAACGTCGTGTTATTCACAATAAAGTAGATGACATCCATAGATCTTGCATTTCTTATGACCTTGTTTCAGAGGGCAACTGCAACAGGACACATACAATATATAACACACCTATCTACATCCTATCACCTGGATACCCCAATTCCTATGACAGGTAGGTTGAAGCATGACACTTTCACATGCAATGTCGATGGTGCTGTATAACCTTGTTTGTTATGTTTTTACGAGACTAGATTCAGAGAGGCTTATTCCCAGGTCGGAAGGAAAGGTATTATCATTCCCCGCCACATAGTTAGGGGATATATATTTGAGCTCCGTCCGTCCGAGATGATGGGGACAGATTTTCTCAGACCGAAACCGTAAATCAAATTTGGTATATGTTTTCAGGACACAAATGCCCTCATGGAGTTCGAACACGGAAACCGAGTTACAATTTGTTACAGAGTTATGGCCCTTGTCATGCGTTTCTCGACATCGTGCACGGTATTCCCAGTGGGAACAGATTTTCTAAGAAACCGTTATAGGTAGGGGAAACCATATTTGGTACGTTATCACGACATGAATGTCGTGGTGGAGTTAAATAAAAATGGGAACCGTGACCATATGTTTTTTTAGTAAATACTTTAGCGAGTCTTTTTCTTATGACCAGATGCTGTGAAACTTTCTGAAACGTTCAGCTGATTTAACACTTGAATTCCTATTGGTGATATAACCGGAATGCTGTCCTAAGCAGCATTGAACCAAACTCACTCACTCACTCAGTTCATATAATATTGAGTGTACTTCAAATTTGAATGACCATGTTTTTTCAGCAACCTGACATGCAATATACTCCTGTTCGTCACGATGCACCCACGAAACATGAGACTTGACGTCCTCACTGCTGATATGGCGGGCACCTACCCGGAATGTGATACTGATTCGGTTCGACTTATCGCAGGTACCTGAGATATCTGAGATCTAACATTAAGTCATATGCACAAGGATAGAATTACTGATTATCGATCGTTGACAATTATGTGCCCAGAATTATTTAAAAAAGTAGGGAACTATCAGCAAGGCGTCACATCTACTGATATCGTTTAAAGGATAGATAGTTTAGCAGTGTAACAGGGACATTTGACCGAGATTTGCAGCTGTCATAGAAGAGAAGAATCGCTTGTGCCAGATGAATGCCCATAGCACCCTACTGTCTATCAGGTCATTTACCAGGAAAGGTCACACTCATTAATATAGCGTGATTCCGCATGTATTCTCAAGACACGCCTGAATCGTTGAGCCACACCCCTATTGAAACGTCTAATAACAATAACTGCTCCAGCGCTGCTGCTTTCGACACCAACGACGTCTTGGAGTAATGTGACGGTTCGTCAATCGTTGGATAACGTGGAGGTCGGGCATGTATGTTGTATTTGTATAGCCGATTATGAACCCAGTCGGTCAAACAACTACACATCTCCAATTTGACAAGCACTTTGACCATAGTTTCATAACGCAATCGTTCTGATAAACGGTCTTGTGCGACACATGAAGGCTAGATCGACATCTGCCATCAACGTAATTTCTTTGTGGTGAATGTGGTAAGCTAACGATTGACTGTGAATCGTTAAGAGGTCGTGCAAAATGCTCTCTCTTGTTCCAAATTACGTAGCCGTTCCTGTCGCGGCTGACCGAGTGTAAAAAAGAACGTTTATTTGAGTTTAAGGCAATATAAGAAGAGCTGTTAGCCTCTATTTCTATCACTGAAATGTACAACAACACACTGACAAGTTTCAGTGTAAATTACGAAGTTTACCCTGACCATGTTCATGAGCACGTCATGAAGCACAAAATTGTCGTGTTTGAACAAAATTATTAACACTCTTTGAATAGACTATTCTAATCACTATCTAGTCATACAACAATATCACACCAAAATGGAATGTCCACTACCTTTTTAAAACATTTAAGTATATATTGGAATACTGATAATTTTTACAGACACTTGCATTATATTATATCATATCATATCATATCATATCAACAAACTTTAGCGAAATCGGAACCCTTTATAATTTTAGTTTTCCATTTTTTGTTATGGTGATGTATTCTCTTCTGCATAGTGTTGTATTTTCATATGAATTCTCAGGAACAGGACGTTATTACTTGGCTGGAGAGTTTTGTGGAAATTCATCGCTTTCACCCATTGGTCCCTACTATTCAAACGGAATATTTATGAAACTGCTATTCCAGTCCAGCAGTGATACCAGTGGCAAGGTTTTCCGACTTAAAGTGTCTCACACTTCACGGAAAGGTATGTATTAACTTATCACATGAAATGGGACGTTTAAGTATTAGTTTTTAAAGGTATTGATCTATAGGGCGTTGAAGGTACTAAATGTTCTGATATAATATTATCTGAATTTGATTCAGTATCCACAAATCTCACCAAGAAAATAAATACACTTATGTTTCAGTGATTCCACACCAATCAGAGAATTGTGGGCCACAATTTCGCAATGCAACGGCACATCCGAAAATTCTTTCTTCTCCCGGATATCCAGTTATTTCTCCAAAGTAAGTCAATTTCCCGACATTTCTTTTCACAATGCACGCAGCCTCCACACATAACGTAACGGGTGGCAATGTATATCGTGAAGCGTTTACTGTAGCCAGTGTTTTTAAGCTATTCTTCATTGGTCTGGACACACGTATGATCCAGTGGTTAAAGGCACCTAAATTAATTTGGTCTGGAAACATGTAGAGCCCAGTCATTTCCGCATCGCAATTAACTGTGCCGAATTGTGTCCCTGCAACCCCCGAGAACCATATGGGCCTTTGTTCGAATCAGTGATTATGCGAATCTATCAGCAACGCCACTTTGAGCAGACTTCTGTCACCCTTAATTCACTCCCTGTTTCAGCCAAGACTTTTGTATTTGGAAAGTGATGGCGTCTGACCCTAAAATGATGGTGCGCATCGTCGTAATTGACTCTGACGCTCCGAATTTTGAGTACGGAATTCGAAGCTGCGGTTACAGAGTCACATTTTACAACGGTAGGTAACTGCAGTCACATAAAAAAGAGTCTAAATAGTTCTTAAAATATAAAATTGTTTGACTGCCTTAACATAATTCTCTCTACTATTAAGTAACCAACTGCATAGCCTTCATGAAATAATCGAGAAAAAGGATCATGTCATCAATTTCCCCTGCCATGTATGTACATACCTACCTGTCAAATCGATTCCTTCAAAAGATGAGCTTTTCGTCACACATAATCACCACACTGATGTTTTAATCATTTATAACGTTTTCTTCTATTTTGTCCACATTATAAATCATGTTTGTCATGACCTATTGCCAAAATGACTTTTCTCAGATGGCTGCCATGATTGTTCCAGGACCTTCCATCTTTAATGACACGATATTCTCCTGGTGTGGCGATTCAAAACCAAATCTGCAGACTACTGGATCAGCTATGACAATTGAGTTTCAAACACGCTTTTCAAACAGTCTGAAAGGCTTCCGACTGAAATATTTCGCAACTAATGGTAATATGAAATGAAAATACCTTGCATGCACATTTACACTTGAGACAATGAACGATTGTATTATAATTACAATCAATGACATGAATATTGACATGATCAATGTATTCGCAAATACAATATGACATGAATTGGTATCATTGCGTATTTCTAGAACAGTATAATATTACATACATTTGCCAAACAATCAGGCTCGTGAGTTACATGTTACATGAGATACATATTTGTCTACAACTTGATTTGTATATGAATTTCTTTCAGAGACATACAGATGTGGAGGGACAGTAAATATTACGGAGGTTGGGAGTAGAACCTTGACAGGGCCGTATCAAAAGTAAGGAGATTTAAAATGTCATATCAATAAACGTGTTCATAATAAGACAAAATAAGACAAGACACATTGGGGTGAATTTCTTATAACAATGACATTCTCAATGACAGTGTCGGGAGTTCAGCTGTGGATTCCTCAGTATGAGGCTATTTTTCCAACTTGAAGTCTTTTAGCCATAGTGGTTGAGCTACTAATCTGGAGCATACATGTAGCTCCATAACATACTGTTGAGATCGATGTTCAGTTGACAAGGAAGGACTAAATATTGCCCCTAGTACAAAACCATTTGGAGGAGGTGAAGTGTAACAGTAAAAACAATTTGCACAATTAACACGAATATGGTACGTAAAACGGTAGGATAGGCATGTAACAGTAAGAGGGACAGAGAACATTGATCCTGATGATGTACTGATGGCTGAATGTTTTAATTCCAGTTCACAAGATTGCCACTGGACAATACACGTCCCCGCCAGCATGAACATCAAGGTCAAAGTGACAAATTTAAATCCGTATATAATACCAATGGCCACATGTAACGCCGATTATGTGGAAATTTACAATGGTAAGTTCAGAAAATCTCCTGTATACATGCGTATCCTTGCCAAAGTATTGTAAATCTGGAGGAATTCCGGGTTATCCTTGGTCCCCAGCTATCAACAACCGCCATATAATTATGTACCCGTATGGTTGATCACTTGGTCGCTTGCTACTATTTGTATCATGGCGGCATATATTATATATATAATTCAGAGCCGATGACAAATAAACGTCATGTAATTAGGACATCACTGAATGCGGCTCCTTTACACAAACATAACCATTTTGTTAGGTGTGAGTTATCACATTTTGATCTTAATATCTGAATATCTGCACGTATTCTATGACAACCAGGTTAGAATTCATACCAATTATTAAAACAACTTATAGGCAATTTAAAAAACTCAGTACATACTTGTCATTTGAATTTATTCCTGTGTTTATGCTATGTATTTATGTACCTCTAGGTATTTTTGACAACACAAGTTCAACAAGCAAATGGTGTGGTCAATACAGCGATGACTTCATCAGCTCTGGACATACCATCACCGTCAGGTTCCACTCCGGGATAGATAACACACATAGAGGAATACGATTGATTTTCAAGGCGGGACACCTCAGTGGTATGTCAGTTTGCAAAGTGTGTGAGTGATGACAAAGCTGGGATTTAGAACCCCATGTCAGAGGATTGGGGCCTCCCAAAACTTGAATATTTTTATAGGTTCCAATAACACAAACTTCACATAACTTTGACGCTTAAAAATACATGTTGTTCCTCATGATGAATGTTAAACAGCGATACTGCAGAAACACAAAATAATGTATGTTTCAGCTTCACGGATGACGAGTCTTTCGGCTAACTATACGGACAAGTATATTGCTTCCCCAAATTATCCATTTTATTACCCGAGGTATGTGGCGAGAAATTGTATGTAAAGTTATATGAAGCTAAACACTGATGTATCATGTAAAGAGTTGAAACAAGTGATACACTTTAACGCTCTCGTTCGCATCATGTGTTATTCACGCATATTTGAAAAATGCTTTCGAAATACCTTATCATGCAGCAGCCTGTGTGTATCCATCTAACTTTATTTGAGACAGATTTTGTTTCTAGATTTGTCTGCTCACTGTGCATTACTTATTCATTCCCACTTTACAATATTAAATTTAGTTAATCCAGGAAAGGATCGTATCTTTAGAAGTGTATAAGGTTTTGAATGTTAATTCAGATTCACATGTTGACCAGAACGCATCCTTGTGATATAATTGAATCTGTCGAATAATGCACTGTCATAATAATGTATTGATGAGTCTTTTTCATCAGCTTGAGAAAATCGAAGCTTTATCTTTAAACAACTGAGATGAGTGGTTCTTTATTAAAGCAATATTGAACGCACGTGGAAGATGGACGCAGGTGAATATAATCGGGTCAAGTTGAAAGTTATCTACTCGCAACTGGAGAGCTCTGTTGGCTGTCAAAATGACTACGTTGAAGCGTTCGATGGTAATATTATGATTGCATATTTACATCAGCTTGTGTTTGTACGTATTTACTGCACTGGTGCTTAAGCCAGGTCTTTGACTTCTCATCGTCGACATAGTTGAGAAAATAAATGTAGAGCACCGGGTAATTCTTGTTGTAGGTGTTGACTATCTTAGTTATCCAAGTATCGATCGAATACATGTTCAATATAGTAATACGTCTGATAAGTTGTCCTTTTCTATGATTATGACTCATTTCATTGTGCAACAAATATTAACATATTGCAACTGCTAGTAGGTGACAGAACTTTGATCATGATGAAACTGCTCCACCTTATCCTAATGAATGTTCCACATCGTTGCCAGAAGGCATGCAGGGAAAGGTATACCAAAACATGCAACCTACAGCAGAGGTTTTGTCTTATCAAATCCTAATGTAAGACAAAATGTGGACAAAACAGTGTTGAATGATTTTATGTCTGTAGGGTCGGATTCCAAAGCTACCTCTCTTGGACGTTGGTGTGGAGGAACTAGACCAAACAAAACCAGTTCAGGATCTTTAATGTTCCTGAAATTCAAGTCAAATTCCCATGTAGTCGACAAAGGATTCATTATACGGTACACGGCAGAGTACATGGGAATAAACGGTAAGTTAGAATGATCCAGTGTAAAACTACGCTTGCGACGAACCAAACAGCCTACAAGCTAAATCTAAAGATCCAAATATGTCCTTTATCAAACTAACTGAAATTAGTTTGTCATGACAATGTTCTAATATGTTCATCCTTTCATCAACTTTCTTAGAAGCATAATTTAAACCGTCAGCTTCTAGTGATCTATGGTCCATTGATTACTTATGTATTACTTAAGTTTCGTTTCCAAAATATATTAGGGATTTAGTATTTTTTCTATTATTACTAGTTAATGCTAGTCAGCTGTTTGAATGTGAACCAATAATGTATGAACTAACGAAACACATTGAAGTAAAATACCATTACAATGCCATATATTACACGGACATCTGCTTGTTTGGACAGATTCGACAGACTTAACCTGGCCAATTGTTGGAGTTTCTATGGGGGTTGTAGGCGCAATAATAGGTGCAATAAGTGGAATAAAAGTGAGGCGCTGCTACCAAAAGAAGACATGATGGCAGCACGACAGTTTCATGACTACAGAAAGGTTATCAAGCAAATAATCTGTCAGTTAAATCATGAACTTAGCGCTGGTATCCAGACAAATGAATTACAGCTCAAAGCACTTTGAGTTAGTGACACTGATTAGCCCGTAGGCTTTGCCGAACAAAATTAGTCTTCAGCAATGACTTGAAACGGCTTAATATAATTGTCGATCGGAGTTCGGGTGGTAAATTATACCATCGATGTGGACCAGATCTCCATAATGTTTTTATAAAGGATTTAGATGTTTGTAGAATGGTTTGATGTCCCGACGGCAGTGACCGTAAAGGTATAGGACTGAATTTTACTCCTGTGTTCATGAAACTGTATACATGTATCAGGTGACGTCATGTATTTGGTTAGATGATTCTTATTGTGATTCTCACTTTGTTTAAACTTGTTTGATGCATATATACTCTCCCAAAAAAAGAAACGCATCATGAAAATAGCAATTTCATGTGGCAATGAATTAAAACGTGATTCATTTTACAAAAGGTTTTGCTCTGTTTATGAATCCTATGGTGTTTATGTTTTGAAACATCATAACAAAACGCACCATCCGTAAAATACCCGTATTTAACAGCATGATTTTCAATTTCGGCGTGTAGTGTCACAGAATACACAATTCACATGCAATGCACGCTCTCTGTCGATTATTCACTGTATTTGGAATATTGTTGACGAACGCAAAATGCCACGTCTAAGTGAAGCCAACCGTCATATCGCCATTGGTTTGCTTGAAGCTGGCCAGTCTCAACGTGCAGTTGCCCGACGCATGGATGTTCACCAAAGCACCATTTCACGGCTCTGGGAGAGATATCGCCCGCAGAGAATGCCCCTCGAAGTGGGCTACCTCGAGCAACCACTGCGGCGCAGGATCGCTACATCCGGGTACATCACCTGCGTCATCGAACAGCTACGGCGACCAGTACCGCTCGACAAATACCCGGATTGAGGAGGCTTTCTGCACAGACCGTCAGGAACAGGTTTCGCCGACGCTTGCGTTCTCCAGGTGGGAAGGTTCGGCCGGGGCAGTGTTATGATGTGGGGAGCGATCACCTGCCGTAGGAGAAGTGATTTGGTGATGATCCAGCGCAACCTGACAGCTCAACGGTCCTGTGACGAAATCCTACGCCCACACCTCCTTCCAATCATTGATCGCAAGAGGGAGTTGTTTCAATAGGACAATGCCAGACCCCACACAGCACGTCACACTAGAGACTTCCTCCAAAACCACAACATCAATGTGCTCCCCTGGCCCTCAAAATCACCGGACTTTAACCCGAAAACCCGAAATCGAAAATCTGTGGGATGCCCTGGACAGACGGGTGCGACGCCGTAACCCTCAGCCCCAGACACTTCAGCAACTCGCACAGGCACTACAGGCAGAGTGGGCTGCGATTGGGCAACACGAGATTCTGAGACTTATTCGTTCGATGCCGAGGCGATGCCGTGCTGTTCTGGATGCCCACGGTGGTCACACGAGGTATTGACTTCAGCGCCACCACACGTCTCCATGTGACACTCAAACTGACTTTCCTCGAGTTGGTGCCAAAGACGGATAAATCTGCATTCCCAGTGTGCAATTTCGCTATATTTCATTGACTCATAAAGCCTACAAGATGTTTCAATCATAAAAATACAGTTGAAATTCCTATATGCGTTTCTTTTTTGGGAGAGTATATATATTCTTGGCATTTTACTATCATAAAAACTAAAATTGTTCCTTTTGTTTGTCGTTGATTAGTATGCAAGCTATGTGATATTGGTTTGTAAAACTGGAGTAGCCAGAGAAACCAGGGATTCATACATTGAACAACCTGCAATGCTGTCCAGTAATAAACCAATTCATCAGCGAAATCGCTTCTTGTGGAACCTGTCCTTATAAATAAACTAAACGGAAGGTGTTTAAGTTAAATCATTAGCAGAACTTAGTGGCATTACCCTGTCATGTTCAAACAGGTTTATAATACTCTGGAAATTGGCATGAATATGCAGAGACAGACATACATACAGACAGGCAGAACACATAAGTAGAGGTTAAACCCTTTGAAGACCTGATGCAAGACAGGAGTTAGAACTGAGGGAGACGTCAAATGCAGGGCGTATACCACTTTTCTGAGCTACCCCTTCTGAAAAACTCAGATAATGGTTATAATTTGGATAAATCTGGGATCAGAACCTAAGATATAAGCCTCTGGCTCTGCTAATGGACGTAACTCTGCACAGAATGTATGTGATCGCGTGTGATTTGAAGTGTGTGACACGGCCTGAAGCTCCTTCTCTGGCGCTAGGGGTGCCTCTATTGACTAAGTGGTCAATGGTGGAGACGCCTTGAGCAGAAGTTGGTACAGTGAATGTAAAACGGAGAAGTTGAAGGGGTTGTCTAAAGTCTGATACGAGCTGAGTAGGAACGTCGACAGATGACCACAAGTGGTAAAGAAACGAATGCGCTGGGGTCTATGGCTGGAGAGGGGAGAAATAGAGACACCCATACCACGTCACTGTTTCCTCTGGCCACGCCAAGTGTTACGGTGCCAGGGCAGGACCTCAGGTGCAGTGTCAGTCTTCTTCCCCTTTGGCTTGTCCAATGTGATCCTGGAGGGGCGAAAAGTAGGCCTCTTAGGAGTCGCTGACACCACGACCTTGTGAGGAAGATTCTCAACTGTCTTAGTCGTGAGGTCGACCAGCTGCGCCTGGGCCCACTTGCACAGAACGATCTTAGTTACAATCGATCTTAGGCCCCCACAATCAACTTTACAATCACCATCCACTTGCACAAAGCCGATCTTAGCGCGATTGTAACACGACATTTATTTAAGATCGCGATTTTAACTAAGAACGAATTTCTTAAACTCGACTCCTGTCTAAAATTGTCTGCAAAAAGGAACTGGTTACTGCAAACAACACATACCTCCCTAAATCGCACCTTGCAACCACAGAAATACCTACCCACGTTTTATGAAAATATTGAAATACGAAAAAATACATCCATAACTTTTGGTCTAGATTTAGTGACTTAATAATTATTTAAACTTAAGCGTAAAAATTCGCAATATTTCCTTATGATATATCACCTAAATGTGTGATTTGCCAAAGGTTGTCAATGAGACATCGTATGAGATATATGTTCGGGGGACTTTTTTTGGAGTAAAATCCCAAATATACCCCACCAGTATTGATTTTGTTACCTTCAGAAAATGTGATATGACTACGGGAGTGTTATGGAAAATAAATACGAATAATAGTACTATAAATAATAGTAATATTTCGTGTGTGTAGTATGTGTTGTTAAATACCTATTCACAGTATGTTGATTATTTAACCCTATGTCGTTGATAATTATTTTTCTTATTGTGAAATTTCTTTTCTACCCAAACCCAGGTAACATGCCAGCATTGGGCCAGCATTGGGCCACTGCTGTAAAAAAAATTGGGCCAATGCTGGCTTTCAGCATTGGGCCAATGCTGATTATCAACGTTGGCCCAGCATTGGCCCAATGATGGCAGGCCAATCCGTAGCCAGTACTGGCCCAGCATTGGCCCAATGATGGCGTGCCAGTCTGTAGCCAATACTGTGCCTTTGTTTTGCCAATCATATCCTCCTGGCTTTTTAATCTATATATGTGGTTCTTCATTTATTAAGGCCAAGAAGTTGTATCTTGGTTTTCTCTACCACCCAACTCCTGTGTTTGTAACAAACAGCACTTGTAAAAATGCTGTGAAAACATGATGGCACTTTGAAATGAACGTAGGGCTTTGACACTTTATTGCTAAAGTAATTACCAACTGTAAGTTAAATCCTAAGGTTTTTGAACAAGAATGAAATAAAAACGTTATAACAAACAGGACATATGTTCACATATCATTATATGTCGTACAAAAATATAGAACTTTAACAAATACCTTAGAATTGTGTTGAGATATGAAATTCAATAATGCTGAAATGTGTATATATCTTAAATAGTTGAATATACGCGGTTGAAAACAGAAAACAAAAAATTAAATGCATTTTAACAACTTTAATTATCTCTCTTATAATAGAATGCAATGAAATAAAAATTTGAATGAATGAATACAATAGGATAGCAGATAAGTACACAGTTTATTCTGTGCTTGTCTCAGCTGCTGCAGTAGCAGCAGCAGCGCTCTTCTTCTGCTTGGCAAGCAGGGTCCTCTCCCTCCTACCACCGTCCCTGTCCGGAGCATATCGGAACCACAATTTAATGTGGCTTTCCAGCTCGCAGTCGGACGCCTTTAAACATACCGGGTTCTTCCGTGCTGCCTCTGAAATGGAAACCGAAGCTGATAGTAAAAATAAATAAAGCTGCTGTATCAATAATTCTCCAATTTCATTTAACATATTTATGTATATTGTTATTATGTATTGTCTTATATGAAGTCAAACTTGCGTAAATGGATCGTATGACTGAGTACTTACTAATAACAACTTCCTTCAGTCTCATCTGTTGGAAGGGTTCTTTTCCTGAAGTCCCCTTCCCAATTCACCTGCTTGGCGACCGAGTTTGTCATTAGCATTGACAAAACTCTGCGTATTGTGTCTCCTGTTGACACGCCTCCTGCCACTCCGAGTTGCCCAACCTGTTGGATTGTAAATTTTTCAATAATTAACTTCCCCTAGCGTTTATAACTATATATTATGGCCATGTAAGAGTAATATTCCGTACAACAATCACTATTAATTGGACTTGGATTGAAACAATTGTTTCAATAACTCAAGTAGTGAAAGGAATGAAATTGGTCTAAAACAAAATTAATATTTACCGCTGATCTCAATCTGGAGGAATCCTCCAGAGAAGTATTAGTTTCCCTCAGTTCCTCGATGGTTTTGAGGGGGGAGATGCAACTCCTCAGCTGGTGTCAAGTCCGAGGAGCCAGACTGTAGAATTCTCAGGACCTGGTGAAGCAGCTTCTGATTTTCAAGAGCCACTGCTCGATTTGATTCCACGATCTTTACAAGTTCAACAACTTCCCCTGGTAGTTTTGAAAATAGAAACAAAATAAACAATTAACAATTGTGCAGGTTGTGGAAATAGTTTTTCATCAGTACTGTTGAGCACAAATGTTTACCATTATCAAGTTGATACATTTTTTAAATAAGTAATATAAAGCATAAATGTTTAACCATTATAATCATACACACCTCTAGTTGCCCCCCACTGTTGAACTTGGTGAGTGACTGGGCCTCCATACATCCTGTCGGGACAGCAATGGAGATGGTTCGGGTAAGATCCGTCGCCTGGGGGATCGCCGTGGGCTGGTCGGGACCGACAGTGTAGGTAGGGGTGGAGACATTGCCACAGGTAGAGAGACTGGAAGGCGAGGAGGAGAAGGCGGCTGGGGAGAAACTCTAAGGCGAGGTGGAGAAGGTGGCATGGGCACAGAGGACTTTGACACTCGTGACTCCTTGCTCTTTGCCACTTGTGTCTCCTCATCACTTGAGCTGGAGCTAGAACTCAAGTACCTGCCAGTTGGTCTGAAATCAAAAATAAGTTCGAATTTACAAAAAAGGAATTTAGAAATGCAAACAATTCAAAGAGCTCAAATTGAAGCCTTTCCACTAAATCATTATCAATTATTTAGTTTTGTAACAATCATCTTGTAATTTTGTGATTTTGTCATATCTATTTAAAGAAGTGTTAAATGTTTATATTCACGCTTCTAACCATATTCACTCAAATGTATTTTGGTACCTTCTTTTCCTTGACTCTCTATCATCCTCTGCCTCCGTGTCGAGGTTAGACATATCAGTTGCCAGGGGTAGTTTTCTCCTCACCTTGTCATACGATTCTGTAATTATTATAGAACACATTTAATTAACGCATCATTATGCCAGTATGTCATCTTGTTAACAATGACTTATCATTTAATAATAATTATTTTTTAAATGAATGAATTAGTATGAAACGTGTTCAGAATTAAAGATAAACTAAACTACACTGATTAGCTTTAGTCGTTTATACTTACCACTACTGTACATGACTGTGATGGTATACAGTTTCCATGTATCCTTGTCTGGGAGGCAGCAGGTCTTCACTCCCTTGTCCAGTTGGTTACTGTTTTTGAACTTGGGCCAAAAGCAGTACTCTCTTCCGTGGAGCCAAGTGTGTGGCACAATCCCCACTTCATTAGTCTTTTGGAACTTGACTATGTGGTACATTTCCTGTTATAAAGCACTTGTCGCTTGAATTTACAGATTAGAATAGCATCTTTACTGTTAAAAAGGTTGTGTATAGAATTAGCAGTATCATGTCACTGTTTTCTGTACCAATGAAACAACATACACACTTTACTGAATGTTTAGATGCAGCAAAGGAAGTACAATAAATGATTCTTTTTCAGGTAAGATAACATATTTCTTTTGAATTTGTGATACCCCCCCCAACGTACAGATGGTCACTTAAATGTGAAACTTTAAAAATTCCAATAGAAGACGATTTAAGTGGATAAGTGAAGAAATCTTTTTTGGATAGGAACTTAGCATATATGATTAAAATATCTTTGTTTGCATTCTGTACAATATTTTTTATTATCACAACTTCATTGTTAATACTAACACAGCTATTTCCAATTGATTTTGACAAAAAGAATCGGTCCATGTGGATTTCTTTATATTGTGTCACGTATCCTAAATTAGATAAAATAGGTCCATCTGAATGTTCAAACTTTACACCTTGATTCTCAGAAACATGTTTACCTTTGTGAAGAGGTACCTGACTTTCACCTAAACGTCTTATTATCTGCTGAAGGGGGCACTTTGGTGTTCGAAGTAGCTTTTTTAATTTGCCTAAGAAGCTTTCAAAAGGAAAAGATGAAAAATTGTCCAAGGGACCAAACCTTTTTACATCCTGTGATAGATGTACCAAACCATGCAGGTTATAAACAACCATATCATTGCCATAAAGACGCGAAAAATGTTCAACAAAAAGACACAAATTGTCTTTGGCATAATCGCAATAATTTGGAACTAGTAGCGGGGTTGCTAAACAGGTAATACCGACAAAAAGAAGCAGAAAATTTAAGTACACGGCATTGCACAAAATATCATTTAGGGCAACCGGCCCAGTATATAATAAGAATAATCTATATTCTGTTGCTTTCCATCTGTCTATTTCCCTGAGAGATCTCCCTTTTCTACAGAACTCCCTTGGGATGTATTTTGAATACAGAGTTAGCTTATCTGACAGTTTGTTTATTGCAGTTGCTCCAATTCTACATCCTACAGAAACGGGACCCTTCATCCATAAAAACAACAGTTTTTTTCATGACACCTAGGCAGACCAAATGCATATAATCAAGTGGAAACTGGGTAACCATACCTATTGATAATTGATTCAGTGGTGATCTGAATAAATGATGCTCTTCATCAGCCATTTCATCAAATTGAAGATCAGTTCTTAGAGGTGCTTTTGTTTCTGGGAATGTCATCTTGTTTAACCATCTACCATTTTGAAGACACTTATCACAACCAGAGTAACCGTTGTGGCCTTTCAACTCCTTTAACAAACGCCCTGGCTGGTGTATCGCATATAAAACATGAAATGGAAACTTCAATTTTGAGGCCATTGTGGTCTAGCCCATCACGCTCAAGACCCTTCATTTCTTCTACAAATTCGTTTAAATATTCACCAAGTTTTGGTGGTTTGGAAGCCCCATAGAAGAGGCCTATGATAAATGGTTGACCAAGAAAGGGATGGATGACTCTACCAAGTATTGGCCAGAACTGCATTGAGGTGCTTTTAAAAACAGGTAAACCATCAATATTCACTTGAAATTTCACTTGCTTACCAGGAATATTGAATTCCATTCTATCAGAAAGCTGATATGATAAAGAACTTGAAATTCCAAAATGAAAGTACTGCCCCCCTGTAATGTTTTTCACAGCGTAACTCCTAGGAGTAAGAAGCAATGTACGTGGATCCTTAGGGAGAGAAGGGTAGTCATTACGTAGAATTTCTAATAGTGACGAAATTGTTCTATGAGGGACCTGGTATTTGACTGCCCATTCGCTAAGTTTTGACATCATTATTTCATCTTTGTCTCGATATTCATTTTCAGAGCTGTCATTTTCAGAACTACTTGTTGCATGGCTAGTTTTTTGAAAATCATGACTTGCATTTTGTTCAAATTCATAAATTGTGTCATATTCATCTTCATCATTAACGACATCTTCATCACTACATGGGCCTTCATCAGAAAATGTTGTTGTAGATGCTAAAAATTGACTTGCTTGTGATACAGACGTTGATGTTAGAGTTTCCTCAGCATTATATTGGTTTTCAATTAAATCATATTTGCTGGCTGATGCCAAAGCTTCTAAATGATTTGAAACCCTTTTCTAACTTTACGACGAGATGTCCAATACGAGTCATTCATTTTGATAAAGTCAATATACCGGTAAATACAACGTACAATTCTATCTAAAAAATCAAATAATATTCTAGTTAGTCTGTCGTCAAGACCCTGGAGCAAGAATTTAAAGGAGCCTTCTTAAGTCTAGAAATTCTGACAATTCTAGATTGCCTTACCTCTGGGGTTCTTTTCAATTTTGATTAATATGTGATGTTAAAAATGAAAATTTCACTCTATCAATTTTGTATATTTCAAATACTTTCTTTTCAAAATATAATTTGAGAATTTAACAATCCCAGTCAGTCAGATATGCAATTGTTACCTAATGTGGTACTGAAAAGTATATACATGTATTTCTGATTACAGAAAACAGTGACAAGTATAATACTGAAACAAAATGTTGCAGTAAATGGAGAGGATGGCCACGTTTAACTCAATGGTGCTTACGTATCAAATTACAACCATTTCCAAATAACCCATTTATCTTTTAGTAACATGTTTACATATATTTTAAAACAGTGACTATATGGTGGACTATACCTTTCTTTAAAAGATCCTAGAATATCACGTGGAAAATGGACTTGAAATCTGTAAAACCTCGGACAAGAGCAAGACTGAACAATGGTGAAAGATACCGCTCAAAGGAGAAATTCCTCAGTTGATAGTCTGCAGCAAATGTATATGTTTCAAAAGTTTCCATTGTTTGTAGTTTCTTATAAATTATAATTAGATTATAATAGCCTAAATAAATGTGCACTGATTGTATGAAACTGGACAAGGGCTTTTGAGATATATTTGTAAGTTAATCTTCAAGTTTCATGACTAAAAGTAGCTTCGGGCAGATGAACTGATAAAGTGTTTAAATTTAGAACACATGGGTCAATGCTGCTACTCTGCTGGGAATCTACTGGTACCAGCTGGCCGCTGAGAGACAGTGGCTCGCCCGCTGTGGCCCACTGCTGTGCCAATGCTGTAAGCCCGTTGCCGGCACAAGCGTAACTCGCGGCACTAATACCAGCATTGGGCCAATGCTACCATGCTACCTGGGTTGTGTCCGAAGGATAGGCTCGTCATATAAAGTTATTTCTTTGGTTCATTACAGATTCACAATGCAAAATGATGTGGGCATCGTGGTCATAGCAGTGCTTATTACAAAGCATACATTCTTTTGAGAATTTGGCTTTAGAACCGACTAGTACAGCAAGTTGTATATGGTCTTTATATTCTGGGTACAGATACATTAGAGTGTAAAGTCTATGTAGATTCAGTGTTTGATGGATTACAGCATATCTGGACATATTTTCTCTAATGGAGAGTCTCAATTTCCATTGAGCCTCTTCATAAGAGAAGACAGAGCTTATAACTATTTTGCGCCAAACTGTCTTTGACGGAAAAATACCAGTTTGCACGTAAGTTGATACATAGTCTAGTAGGTTATACTTCCGTGCTGTACATAACACAGTGTTGCAAATACTGCGTGAGCTAATATTTAAGTGAACAGTGAGTGCTAAAAATGCACAGAACAGTGTTTTCGTTGATGAATTACAGGCGTTATTACATAATCTTTCAAGGAATAATAATCTACACTTGTCAATGTACCCAACCATTGTCCAGAGACCTAGGTTGGCACATACAGAATCTGTTGGCATACGTCTGTTGAACCCTTGAATACATTTAGCGAAATATCGTTGGGTATTTTCCACCAAATCAATGTTTTTGCCATATAGCGTAGGCATGGTTTCACAACCATAGAAGCTTGTAGGTAAAACCATTCTTTTCCATATATTAACACATGTACCTTTAGTGACTGTCAGATTGATTTATCTGATAATATTGATAACGTCGCCCGAACACAAGCACCCTCAGAAACAACATGCAATATGTGTGGCATGACTGTGCTTCACATTTCACGCATGCAGTCTGATCGGTGTAAAACTACCTGTAATCATTCCTCTGGTACAACAAGCGGATCCTAACTTCATTTTTATGGATGATAATGCCAATCCATGGATGATAATGCCCGAGAAAGAGTTGTTAATGATGTGGTTTAGATCAACAACATCACACATATGGAGTGGCCTGCAAGATCACCTGATCTTAATCTGAACATGCTTAGGACATTTTTGGAATTCGTGTTTACGGTCTCCATGTTCACCCCCAGACTCTGGATGACCTTGAACAGGCGTTACAGAGAGAATGGCAGAACATTCCACAACAGCAACTTTAAAGGCTCATTTGGTCAATGGAAAGACGTCTAGAAGCTTGCATTCGTGCTCATGATGGTCATACGCGTTACTGAACACTGCTTCACTGTCCAAAACTGACTTGAACCTTATTGTTATAATAACATTTTGCTCCACTAATGCAGCGCATTTTGCACGACTGTTTCATGGGTACGTGCTCTTGATGATTTGTAAGTCTATTATTGCTCAGTACCATTTCATTTCATTTTGTTAACCGTGTGTACACATGTTTCACCTTTCTATTGCATCATTCCATGATTTGCAATAAATGAAAATGTAATGAGACTTTTTGTGAGGAGTATAGCTGGAATATTGCTGAGTGCTGTGTTGGACAAAATACAAAACAAAACAATATATTTGGGAATTACACTTGAAATCGGCATTTTTCTGTGTGCACCCGGTATTTTACTCTTCATATAGCATGCAATACATTATTTTAAGACAGAAACTCGAGTTTAGAAATGAATTTTTAAGAATAAATCCTAATTTCAATTGTTAGTTGTTTTCAACATTTAGTTACTAGTTGTTTTCTAAGTGTTTCGAATCTTTTGAAAGAGATAAAGAAATTTCGAGTATTTTCTCGATTTTTAAAATATTTTCTCGAAATTCTAATCATTTTGTGCAATTTTGATTATTTCCTTTTTATTTAGTTATTTTGCTATGTTGATATTTTACTTGATGAATAATTGAAATTACGAGAAAATAATCTAAGTATCGAGAAGAAAATAGAAACTTCAAAATGGCGGAAACGAATTAATCTTGATAAGTGTTTGATTGCAGAAATTATGAAACACACCCATTTTCGGGTTTGTGCGCGACCACTTCGACACATTTTACTGAAACTCACTCATCTGACAGGTCCATATATGGTTTTTAAGGCATCTAATTGCAGTTTTTTCTAACTGTATTTCTTAGCCTTAGTGCAATTGTTCTTAATATAATATCTCAGGCATTCAGGCATTCACTATGACAAATTGACCTGTATTGATAAAAGACTCCAGATATCACCGCGCACACGAAACACCTGATAACAGACAGAGAGAAAACGATGAGAACTAACATTGTATCGAAAAAGAGAAACCACTAAACATAACACCAAGACCCTTTGGCAGATGAAGCATAACTTGCAATGACCTGTCGATGGCTACTTTTAGTTATCTGGGGGATAGACTTTTCTGTGTACATAGTGACACTGAATATTTGAATTTCGTAACAGGTCTATGTCCTGTTCAACAACCTTGGTATTTGTATGAAACTTTCGCAGAGCGTTAGAAAGCTATCGAGTACTTGTGTGCGGGGGGGGGGGGGGGCTTTATTTCGCAATACCTGAACTCGGAATTGTCGTATGGGATGAGTGCAGTAAGTGAACATTTCCACATGCTTTGATCAACACTTGTTGAACATTTGGAACAGAATGTGCTGCTGTTTCTTTGAATATGTTTTTAGTATATGGATCAAATGGGTTTAGACAGATTCCTTATTCAGTGTGACAGACAAATTTTAGTACATATACATATGGAAATTAATTGAGCAACATCTCATTCACAGATCTGTAAATTTAAAACAATTTTTTTTCTGAATGAGCTTGCCTCTTTCTGTATAGTATAATTGTCTTGTAGAGCTATTCAATAAACGTTCAACGGCAGTCACTGCCCGTTAAATATCATACCCCCAATATTGTGATTGTGATATACAGATTACATGCAGCACCCTCTCCTTTCAATTAGGATAGAATGTTAACTTATTCGGTGTGTCACGTATGGAAACTAATATAGAAAATAATAACTGAGCCTCACTTAATTCACAGATCTATAGAATTTTGCGCAATAGATTCTGCTCGCAGCAGGTTTTGGATGAGTTTGGAAATGGTTTTGTCTCTCTTTGTGTGACACAGACACAATGATGGCCTTTTGAATCTAAGAAGGCTTTGATAGACAAGACAGATACGAATGGACAGTGAAGCGTGAGCCAGTCAACAACAAGTTCCGCTTCCTTGTAAGTCCCTGATTCTTTTGTCCTGAGATTTATGACAATGATAGCTTATAGTTACAATTCACAAACTGTGACAATATACATAGCACAAGTTGTCTGACCCTCATTACACATACACTCTCTGTCACACACACACGCACTCTCTCTCACACACACACACTCACACACACACATACATCAGGTCATATCATATCGTGACTACTGGTTGCGATGAAATTGAGAGACGGGAACACCTCAAAGTTGTATCAATTGGGTTTGACTTGAACAGACAACTGAAACATCTCTGTGCAAATTGGTGAAACTGTGATAAATAGAATGAAAGAATGGCGTATAGTTGTAAGCTTCAAAGGAACATAAACACCTATGTCATTGGCCAGCGTTTTCGCTTTCGGTACATGAACGCATTGCACAAACGCAATCTGAAAAGAAAAAAACCCAGAGCTGATAAGCCACCACATTCATCGTTCACAGCGTACCGCCATCTACAACTGACAAATAACTAACTACATACTGGCTATAACTGACGAATAACACATACCATGGCGGTGAACGCGATTGCTGTCATGCTCTTGGCTGTCCTTCTCCCTCTCCGAGACACAAATGCAGGTAAATATACGGCTGAGGTCAGGGAAACATTCTCCTCAAGTAACATGGTAGCATTGTGTAGGGTGTATGTGTAGAGGCATTGACATAACTAACTATCTTTTCTCTCTGGTAATGATATATTCGTAGGTGGGAGTATAATTAATGGTGTGCTACATATTATCAGTTTTGGCTGTGCCTGTGCGATATTGTTTATTTTAGCTAGTAAAAAGAAAATTATTGTTGCACAATGGCTACCATAGAACATAGCATGAGAGATAAATTTGCAGCTGTACAATGTATGCACTGTCAGATTGAAAGGTGAGTCACATTTCTTTTGGAGATGAAACGATCTGCGCTGACTTGCATCCTAAATTAGACATTCCCAGATTCACCAGTGGTGGATTCAAAGTCCAGATTCATCTCGTTTACAAATTTTGGTCCATTTTCTCAGTTTTCTTGCTTGACTGTTCCATTGACGTTGTAAAGATTCTGGGCGCGTTTTACTGTGGATTTTACTCGGACGACTTCAGACACAATATAATCAGATTGCAAGGCAGAATTCCAACGTTGTGATATGCACACATGTATAAATGGTTATCGGGTTGTGATGTGTCATGCCCAACCAGTGGCACGGGTCATCTAATCATGTCATTTTATCACCGCGTGACAAAACTCACAAGGACACATGATGCAGGGCAACACTGACATAGTACACAATGTACATATCAGCGATAAAACCTTTTGAAACCATTGTTGAAGATTTGTATGCTATAACCTTGACCAATAAAAGGAAAAGTCGATCTCCCTCATTTATATCTCAACAAAAAGATCATAATCGATTTTACCCTAATACTTGCGAAATGTAGGCTGAAGCTCCTGATATTTTTCTCCATACAAAAGGAAATATATATGTTGAAGCCAACGCTCTTGACAATAACAACCTTAACTTTTTCTGAATGCTGATAATTATGAACAGATCTGGCGGGTTCAATTGGCGCTTCTGTTTCCATTTTGGGTAGATCAATAAGTGCAGGGGCATACTGCCATTATTTGGGGGAAGGTGAGTTGAACTCCACCAGTTCGATTGTATACTTGTGATCATTATTCCTTATTCACAGACGCTTGCGGAAACTACATGCAGCTTTCCAATCTTACGAAAAGCATAACGTCCCCAGGATACCCTTCGTTGTATAACAGGTAGCTACAAGCATTCAACAGCATATAGTGCATCAATAAAGCGAGTCAGGGGACATTCGTAATCCTATGATACACTATACAGTTACAATAGCTCGAACCGTTATTTGGATAAGAGCACGTTGTTTCATCTTCGAAGTCTGTAAAATGGTATCTACAAATCAGAATAACTCACTTTTAATGTAGCTTGCCAAATATTTTCCCTTTCTGAAAACAGACACTTATATTAATACTGTTAAGGAAACCAAATAGTTTAAATGTTTTTACGAGAATAATATCAATACGTTTCTAACGAAGATCACGTTTATCATTACTTAGTGTGTGCACTGAATGTATTGTTAGGCCAAGTTTTCTGAACATATGATCACACGTACGTTGTGTCTAAAAACATTCAGTTGTCGGTAATGAATTAATGTTCATCAAAACCTTATGAATGTTGTGGAACCTGACAAAATATTTGTCCTTCAACTTGTCTTTTCAGTTCTCTGTCCTGCGAATGGAGGATAAATGCCTCTTCACCAGATCATCTTGTAGGCGTATTATATGTTGCACAGTTTGAGTCCAAGAACTGTCAACATGGCAGTCTGTCCTTCTATGATGGTGAGCATATTCTTTTTCAAAAGTATTGACAGTGGGATCTTCTGGAGTTGATACTGTATTCCCCTGTGGGCGAGCTGGCAAAGGCGCCAGGCTAGTGATCCAGCGAGCGTGAGGTGCCGGGATCGAGCCCTACTGTGACCGGGTGTAGAAACCTTGGAGTCAACTTTGTGTGCAGACTCTTTCAGTGTTGTCACAACCCCTAGTGTACACTACACAACCCTGTGCACTTAAAAGAACCCACGAATCCGTTGGTATATGACCAGATGGTGGTCACATGAATACGTGCAAACACCTAGTTGCGGGTACACTAACGTGCAGTGAACTTGGACAAAGTACTGTGACTATGTGTCCCATGTGTATCATGTGTGACTATGTGTCCCAGTCCACCCAGCTGTGAATGGGTACCTCGTAAGGATGAGAAAGCCACAATAACTCGGTGCGCCTAGTGGCAGCAAGAGTTGCATACTCCCCAGAGAGAGTATCTCAATAGGGAAATGAAAGGCCAGCATTACATATTGCCACTGTGGGTAAAGTTATGGCATAATGGCTTCACGGCCTAAGTGAAGTTAGTGAACTACTTATGCCTTTTGACATGTTACGGGAACATTTCAAACCCACTTTACAATGCGAGACAATATATGATTGCACAAAGCCAATATTTATTATTAAAAGTAGGATGAAAATAGACACAAACTGTATAAGTATGTACATTAACTAACGTGGACGTATTCAGATTTAACAGACAGATCATTCAGCATTTGACGTCTTGTTAAGGTAAAAATAGGACAGGCAGATAATGATTCTTCTTAAAAAATATCAATAGCATGTTTTAACTTTAATTTAACATATTCATTTTGCACTCTGTAAACACCTGGCATACATATGCGATGGACATATGGTATAAGACTGTATCACGTGTATAATTCCACATTTGCGTAGGTGTTAGTGACATAATGGTCTTGTATAATATTATGATTTTGATGACCAGGACCAGACAATGTTCGGTTTGTCCCCATCGACGTATGGATATATGCCATAGATGATTTGGTCTTTGTATATGATTTTCATGACCAGAATCAGAAAATCTTCGGTTGTCTCCACCGATGTGTAGTAATGTAATAGGATATGTTATGTTTTCCATTTGTATAGGTATAGTTGGAGGGCTGTGTGTTTGTAATTAATAACTTTTACGCTATTGCATAACTAGGTACAGATAATTCAAGTGGATTACTGTTACAACTGTGTGGTACGGATCGTGGCGGTATTCTCAGCAGCGGAAACACCATGTACATACAGTTTACTTCCAGTGCGTCCTCTTATGGAACAAGATTTACTCTCAAAGCCAATAATACTGAAAGTAAGGGTAAGAGAATGAAAGAGCACGCGCGTGAGTTGTCATAAATGCCACTTCGAACAGTATTTTCGTTACATAACGGCATGATTGTCTGATCAGAAATCAGAAAGCAGGTTTTACTTAAAGCAGGTAAACTATAAGCGTCAATATCCCAAGGAAAAGCCCTTCCAAGAGCAGAGCTGACAATGCGACAATACCATGAACATGTATTTATGATTCACTACGAAATAGTGATGGCACCTTGTATTTGTGAAACAGAAAGCTTGTTCTCGCAAACATGAAATTGTTCACCCAGACATCCCCATGGAACGATAATGGTACAATTCAAAGTCGGGCATTACATTGTAATCCTGATCTAACAACTTCTGAGCACGAATCGCTTGACCCCATCCTTTTGTGTCTGATGTGAAATGTAGACACCAAAGGCTCGACCTAAAGGCAAATTGACTGTTAGAAAGATGAACTTATCCCTCTTGTTATACAGTTATGCGGAGTGTGTTTGTCATTCCAATTCTCTGTGCATATATTTATTTGATCACCTCTTTTTCCAGTTCAGGTGGGTGGATAAGTGAAAGGGAATTGGTTACATGTATGTGAAGGTTATTGAACGATATAAGATCATCGATATACCAGAAAGTTAAAGGTTAACTTCTTGACCACCTTGGCTCCATAAGGATCAAGGTATAGATGTTGGAAAGGCAATTATTTCGACAGAATCGAACTCATAATGTGAGATTGCATATAACATATAACATAAGTTTTTGAGATACCACATGGAATTAATTTTCCTTGACTCAAAATGTTTCTGTGTTGTGAGGACATCAGTTTCATTGTATCAAGGATTATGGTAAATCCTTATCATGGTAATACTTTGTTGGAGCCTGGAATATACATTGTTTGAGTGGATTTATAAAAAATATCCAGTACAAATAGGAATGGACATGTCTTAAGATTCAAGTAAAAAGTTGATAGTCATGTCAGAACCCACGAGTAACCGTGAATTCGAAAATCTGGTCTTTTGTCATGTCACATTTAGTTTCAAATCATCAACTCAACTGTCTTTTTCAGGATGCGGTGGAACGTTTATAGCAACATCACAGATGACAAATTTCACGGTACCAGAGGTTCCTAATGTCTCGTATAGGTATGACACAACCATTTATTTAAACTTTTGTAGATATTTAAAATTGCACTTTGATTTCTATAACATTACAAATGTGTAATACATATCATATCTGCAGTAGTAGTAATAGAGGGGGGATACTACCGCAGATGTGGCTTAGAGGGTTAAAAAAATATCAAGAACCATCCTTCGATGTGCAAGTTAAAATAAGAGAGCTCCGTATTTATTTTTTCCGAACGGTAGGCTTCGAACCTCGGTGACAGAGATGCGCAACTCAGTACCTTGATCGTTCGACTGAGCCACAGAGGACCTGATAGCCGAGTGCTCGGTTTAACGGGTCTATCCTGAGATTGCATCATCCTCTTAAACCGGGCTCCGTCTATAGTAGCGCAAAGGATGTCTGAAACCCTCATTCCACTTCCGCTTCAATACTTTGTGCACATTTGGTGGCTTTTTCACCTCGAATCCATGTCTCACGAAACACGATGCCCGTAGGTAGTTTGAAGAACGCTGAATACGATACATTAGTCGCCGAACGCTGCAAAAAATTGTAGAGGCCACAATCCATTATTTATCCTGAGCTGGGCTCCGTCTATACTAGCTACAGTAGCGCAGAACCAGTCTCGCTCACCTCGTGCATGTTTGGTGTTTTTTCACCTCGAATCAAGGTGTCATAAAATACAATCACAATACTCTTAGGTAGTCTAGACCTAGCGTTTTAGCGTTCGAATCCCAGACAGAACTATTTTTTGTTTTATTATATTTTTGGTACTAAAACTAGTATCTCGGCTAGGTCATAATGACACCCACAAAGCAGTTTAACGTGCAACTTTTACGAGGTCTTTGTTCTTGGTCAGGAAGGCTTGAATGATTTGTTGTCGGCCTTGTTCTATGAGGGTGTTTTTCTCGTCTTCGCTGAAGTCGACGGTTTTCCGAGTCTTGGTTCGAATCTCTTCCTTCATGCAGTGGTACTTGGCGAGTTCAGCTAAAATCAGGCAGAACTCTTCTTCGGAGATTTTACTGTCCGTGAGCGCCGACGAGTATTCACGCCAGTCCCGATACCCCGGCGGCTACTTCTAACCCAAGGATGAGGGGTGAGGCCACGATGGTCGACAACAAGCCGATGCCGGCACTTCCGAGTCCAATGCTGGTGACCACGAGGTCCGTGTCCACACCGTCGATGGCATTGACGGCCCGATGGTACTTTTTGTGCAATCTGAGTTGCACGTCACGTTCTCGTTCCAGTTGGCGTTTGATGTCGCTGATCTGTCACAAATCAAATCCATCTGCCGTTTCGAGAGTTGAGCCACGTCGTCCATGGCCGGAAACAATCCCATCTTGCACTATATATATATATAGTTTACAAAATAATATTTAATTCGTCCTCAGTCGATCATTGATGAATATACTTTAAGCTGATGAGGTACACGTGTTCGGGTGCATAAATCTGGTTCAGTAAAATTTCATCTCCAATAAAAACCTCGACTCCCTCGAGGCTTGTGGTGGAAGCTGTTCCTAGTTGTACATAAATATGACAGCGTTGATTTTTATGGCAATCGTGCCAGGGTATGTTTTACCCAGGCAGGAGTCCCACCTGTTGTCCAGAGGCATTTCCAAGAACCACGTCAATAATGAGGGTAGAACCTGGTATCACAGTGATCCACGAGTCAGCGACTTCACTATATAGTTTTAAATAGAGCCATTTGGTTGTGTCTTCCGAGTGAGGGACTAGCATATAACCTGTTTGTTCTGGTAATGGTGATGGGTACATTCCCTTTTCATGAAACGGAATAAAACTTCCCAGTAGAATCCCATTGTTTTTTAGTTCGAGGATATTACGATCCTGATCCATGACGAGATAGGGCTAGGTCAGTACGATATTGATGATCCAGTTCAATTCGACGATGACTTCTCGACGTTGGTACACGTTGTTTTGTAAGTGCAGGACGTACAAGGCGTTTTCCGTACCTTGTTGTCGAATCCTCGCGTGTCCCCAAGATCGGAAAACGCAATGGTGGCTTGCGGAGTCACGATTGTCTTGGTTTATATTAGAGATGAAATTTTAATTGGTTTTCGGATAATTTTTCGGCCGTGCATTTCAAACCCATCAGATGTATGTTATCGTGTAGGAATATTTTCGCGAGCGATATCGTGTTTTCTACGGTGATGTTGACTCCCTGCTGACTGGTGAAGACATCCACGCCCACCCGTACGTAAACGGAGAAAACCATGGTATTGGTGTTGTTGGGTCCACTGGAGTTTGATGCCTTTGACGATTTCGACGTTACCAACCCGTGGTTCACTGAGGTAGACTTGGATGATCAGCGTTGGTTTGCGCCGGCAGATTTCGCAGGATGTCGACCATGCTGTAGAATTCTGACAGTAACTGCGACGTCGCATTTGACGTCTCAGGTTTACTCAATAGAATGTTAGCTATAGTTTGCGATAGCGTGCTGACAACGACGCTGCGTCTTTGCATCGGGTCGTAAGCCACGGTGGTGGTGGTGGTCTTTGTTTTCCATG